GTGTGTGTGTGTGTGTGCGTGTGTGTGTGTGTGTGTGTGTGTGTGTGTGTGTGTGTGTGTGTGTGTGCGCACATCTGAAGTTGTGCGTATGCATGCGGTCGAGGGCAATTGTAGCAAAACAGAAAGGGACTAGCCATGCAGCTGCGCAGGCATAACAAAGAAAGGGGGCCAGCCGCGCGTGCCAATCCCCAGGCCTCGGTTCCCCCGAGCTCCCCCTCGCACCCTGTCGCAGCGGCACCCGCGGGCCGCCCCGCACGGGCGGCCCCACCCGCAGCGGGTCCTCCCCCCGCCGCTCCCCCGCCCGCCCCTCCGCGCCGGCGCCGGCGCCGCGCCCCTCCGACGCCTCCGGCGCGCGCTTCTCGTTGCGCCCAGCATCGTCGGCGGCGCTCGCCTGGGCGGCCGCCTGTCTGGCGAGGCGGCCGGCGGCGGCGCCGCCTTCCAGGGGCGGCAGGGCGGCTTCCACGACGGAGCAGAGTTCCTCCAGATTCCTGGGGGCGGTGAAAACGGGCGCAAACGCGGGCGGGAAGACGGGCGGGAAGAGGCCCATTTGGAGGGTGTGGAGGGCCGACGTTCGCCGGGTGATTGTATGTGTATGCGTGTGCTTGCTGAAAACGGCCAGGGCGGAGCGGGCGCTTTGAGCTGGCCTCTGTGCGATCAAAGCGTCGCAGAGGCCGGGCACGGCCACACCAAGCGGGAGGGATGCCGGCAAGGCTGACGCGCAGCTGCAGGGCCCGCAAACAGATTCCTGTGCCGAGTTATGGCGGACACACAAGCCACTTCCAGAACTCTGTAACATGCATGGACTAAGGTCCCATGACACGGACGCGCGCGTCCGCGCGTGCACGCACACGCACGCGCACATGCGCGTGCGCACACGAATGCGTGCACACACACACACACACACACACACACACACACACACACACACACACACACACACACACACACACACGATAACACACGTGCGGGCACTCCCATGCGTGCACAGACATGCGTGCACTCACATGCACCCACACACCCGCCCACTCACACGTGCTCACACGCATCACACGCGCGTGCGCCCACCTATACCGCTGCGCCGCCGCGGGGCCCCCCTCTGGATCGTAGTACTTCCTTGCATCCAACTCCATCACAGCAGGCTCCACCCCCTCGGGCCGCGACGCTGCCAGCGTCACCACCAGCGCGCCGCCGCCCATGACCAGGCCTTTCAGCAGCAGCAGCCGCGCGCGCGTGTGGGCGGCCGGTTCGGAGCGGTACAGCAGAGTGTAGCGGTCGTCGGCGGCGTTCCAGCCGCTATCTTGGACCTCTGGGGCGTCGCTCTGGGCACCTGGGTTGATTTTTTGAGTGTTAAGGAGGGGCAGGGGATTTGAGAGCGGAGGGGGCCGCGGGCGGCTCCGAGGAGGGCTTGCTGTGTGGTGTGCGCTTGCGTGGGCGGGCGAATTCGACAAGGGAGGTGCGCGTGCGTGCGAGGGAGCGCAGTGCAGGGGAAGGGCGCGGCGGGCCGCCGCCGCCGCGCGGCTGCAGCGCCCGTCCGGGACACGTGGGGCTGCATGCGCGCCGAGCTGCCCTTCCAATCCGATCGGTGAATGGGTTGGTGGCGTCTCATGCCACGAGGAGGCACAGGGGCCAGAAGGGCCGATCAGGGAGGCGGAAGCAGGGTGCTGCATCGGCACCACCACGCACCTTCAAGCTTGGCAGAGTCGCCGACGCCGACCAAGGCATGGCCGCTGGCCAGGAGCGCTGCGTGCACAGCGTACATGACAGCATCCTCCGCGCCCCTGCGCGTGCATAGGAGCGGGCGGGCGCGTTTGGGGGCGTCGACGCGCGGCGCGGCGCGGGCGCGGAGCTCGGGAGCTCGATGTGGCGCACGCGCGTCCGACAGGGCGGCGCCGCACCTGAACGACTGGGCCCCAGCCCGCACGACGGCTAGTACCGTCGATGCGTATGCTTTCATCCTATCTGATCCAGTATGCGGCGAGTTGGCCTGGTTTGCGAGGTCGAAACGAGAGAGATCTCGGAGTGGGTGCCACGCGTAATGAACTCCGGAGCTCTGGAGATTTCGCTACTGAAAATTTTGCTGGTCTCGATACGCCTGCATACGCGCTGCACGCATACAGACGCCAACGCCGTCACCTGATGACACTGCTCTCATGCTCCTGGCCGCCGCATGCCGCCCTGGTGCCCTCTTCATGTGCACCAGCAACCCGGCCAGACTTGAGAGGGGAAATGTTAACTTTAGATCAAGTCACAGCTTGGTCGCTAGCAGGCCGTTCGCGAAGCCCCAACCCCAACAGCGAGGGTTTGGCAGCGTTGTAATTAGTACGTAGCGAGGTGATGGTGCAGCCTGGCGGCGGCGCCATTATGCACCGCAGCGGAGCGCCCCTGCACGCCCACCCTCGTTCCACGGAGCCCCGTTGCCGGACCGCACTAGCGCGGCGCCGCCGCCGCTGCTGCGGCGGCGTCACGTGCAGCGGCCCAGAAGGCCCCGCCGCGCAGCATCGAGCCACGCGCGTGCAGCATGGGCAGGCGTCTCTTTGGGCCGCGGCGCCTGCGCTCGTCGCGCTGCCTTTGCCACGCGCACGGGGCTCCTTGTTCAGGACTGCAAGGGTTCCGCAGCCTGCCGCTTCTGATGTGCGAAAAGGGAGCAAGCAAAGCAATCGGTTGTGGATAAGTGGCCGGCCAACACATCATGACTGATAATAGGGAGCTGACACAAGGTGGCTGTGACCCGCCTGCGGCGGAGCAGCGCCACCCAGCGCACAGAAAGGCGTGTCGTTGGCAAAAGAATAAGATGAGCTGAAACAGCGTGACACTGTCACGCCGCCGCGGCGGCTCAAAGCCAGAAGGGTAGCGAGCAGTGCGGGAAGACGGCAAAGCAAACACTGCAGCTGTCGCGTTGAACGCGCCGGATCTCGGGCGTGACATCACAAATCAGCCGCCGTGAACGCGGTCGTTGGAAGGAAGCGAGGCATGCCCAGTCGGAGGGCCGCCCCTCGGTCCCGCACCAACAAATGTAACCCCCGCTCCCACATACAAGCCCCCACTGGCGAGAGTTGTGTCTTGGCTCCAGCCGCCGCACGCGCGCCTTTCACGCGCGAGAGCGCCGCGGCTCAACGCAACGCTTGCCGGCGTGAGCGCGCACCCGGGCAGGTGGCCGGGCGAAGCCCCAAACCCTGAACCCTCAGGTCGACGAAAGCAGCGGCGGGGTGCGCTTCTTGGCGGGCGCGACCGGGATGCCGTTCGCATCCACGGCCGGGCCCTCCTGCGGCTCCGAGCCCACCTGGATTCAGAAGACAGGGGGGGGGGGCAGCGAGTGAGGGGCGGGTGAGGGGGGGTGAAGGGGCCTCGGGGAGGCGCGAGGTGGCGGCGGCCTGCGCGGCCAGGCTGGGTGACTGGAGGTTTGCTGGGCCCAAATCCTGAGCCTGAGCCCACACATGGGTGCGCAGCGTGGTGAGTAGGACGATTGGCTCTTTGGGGCCGAGCCCCATGAATCACAACACAAGCGTCACCTGACCAAGCCAATGCCTGACACCCCACATTGTCCATGTGTGCACGCGGGCACACACACGCGCGCACACACACAAACACACACACACACACACACACACAAGCACACACAAGCACACACAAGCACATCCACACACATATGTACACTCTCACTCTCTTTCTCACGCCACCGCATCGTCATCGGACAGGGGAATGCACACACGCGCTCCATGACTCACCGTCATAAAATCCGTCACCGCCGACGGTGGAACCGCGCCGCTGACGATGCGGTTGACTGTCGTAAACAGAGGGTAGTCCGCTTCCCAATCCCTGGGGGTTTGGTCAGCCGGGTGCGTGGGGCAAGGGGGTGTGCGGCCGTGTGTGGGTGCAGGACACGGATTCCAGGGTGATGACATGGCGGTTAGGGGCGTTACCCCTTTTGGGAGCCAGGGTCTCTCCCCTCGCTGCTGGAAAAGCGTGATGTAATGTAATGTAATGATGACATAGCAGGGTGGATGTGAGGGACCACCGGGACCCGTCGACCCGGGACTGCGTACGTGTGCCCGCTGGGCCCAGGCGAGACGGGTGTAAGTCGGTCACAAGTAGCGACTCCAACGGCCCCATGCGATCGCCACGCCGCTTATGGAACACACTCAGGGACCTTGCTCGTGGGTGCGACACGGGGCATGACATCACCCAAACGTGATCTCATGCGGCCACAAATGACCCCTCCTTGACTCAGTGTTTCAAGACGTGTCAACCCTACCCACCTGGCCTTGAGAATTTCCTGCACCTCGTTGCTGGTCAGCACCCCCTGCAGCTTCTGCCCATTCAGCAGCTCCGCCTCCAGCGCATCAAACGACTTGGGCGCGCCCGCCTGCGGGAATTCAAACGCGGTTCGCGACAGACCGTCAGATAAGACACGGGTCGACCCGGGCATGAGGCGTGGCGCCAGGTTGCAGGTGCCTTGTGATGTGGCGGCTGTGGGTGCACAGAATATAATGCAGATGCGCGTCAACTCAACTCAACTGCATCCTTCCTTCACTCCACTCCACTCGCCGCCACCCCAACCCACGCGCGCACGTGGGGCCCCACCCGCTTGTGCACACAAGCATGCGCACAAAAGCCCCCAGACGAGCATGCACGCAAGCCACTCCCAACAGGATCCTCGTCACACCGGCTGTCCTTTGTCACAACCGATCCCACAGCAGTTCAAGCCATCCTGCTGGCTTCAGGGTTGACTCTCTCGCCACCACCAAGCTGAGCAAAGCAGAGCCCCTGTGGTTTCATGTGTGCGCCCCGCCCACCATGGCGGCCTTGGTGAAGGCCTCGGCCACGAGGCGGTTGCGGCCGCCGTAGCAGGTGGCTATGAGGTCCGCCATGCCGCAGGGCTCAAAGAACGTCTCATCGCGGATCGTAGGGTACAGGGCCTGCAGGGTTTAGGGGTTCCACAGGGTTCAGGGTCGAAGGTGCAAGGTAGAACGATTTGGCAAGGAGAGGAATTGCAGGGGCCTGGGCCCGCCATATGGGGGCCATCGGAGTCAGCTGGCACGCGAGGCAGCCGGGGCAGCCGCCAACTCCAGCGCCATCTTGCCGCCTCAAAGGACTGCGCCGACGCGCGTCACGGCCGCGCAGCTGAACACCCGCGCCCTCCGCCCGCAGTCGGCCGCCCTTTGACCAGAGGCGGTGCTTGGGGGCCTGGCGCTGCAAGGCCCCCTGCTCCACTCCAGTTGCGCGGCATGCACTCCCGCCCCCTGGACCCTGCCGCACCCTTTGATGCCGCGCCCGTGCATTCCTGCGCTCGAGCGGGCCTGGGAATAACCCTGAACCCTCAAACCACCCGACCTTTGAGAAGGCCCTCATCTCGATCAGCCCCTGCCGCATGATGGTGGCCTTTGAGTTGGGACCCAGGCCCAGGCCGTCCACGAAGCCGGCGGCCAGGGCCACTATGTTCTTGAGGGTGCCACACATTTCAGCGCCAGCCTGGGAGGGCGAGGTTGAGGGGGTGAGGTTTTGAGGGTTTTAAGGAGGAGAGCATTTGAGGAGTGGGGTATGCGTGTGCACGATGATCGCGTCTTCATGTACCCGCGCATGTGTGAATGTATCTGTACATACGAGTGTATGTTTGTGTGTATGTGTGTGTGTGTGGGGGGGAGGGGTTCTGTGAGAGTAATGAGAGAGAGAGAAAATGTGTGTGTGCGTGCGTGCGTGCGTGCGTGCAAGTGTGTGTGTATGCGCGCGCGCGTGTGTGTGTGTGTGTGCGCGTGTGTGTGTGTGTGTGTGTGTGTGTGTGGGTGTGTGTGCACGCGCATCTCAGGCGCGCCCGTGAGTGGCTGTTTGCAAAGCCTGTCCCGCGGAGGGCGTCGACTCACGACACACCGCAACGGCACGTACGCGCCCCCGCCGGCCACCCAGAATATCCCCTCTCTCCCCGACCGTGCGCACACCCTGCCTGGCAGCGTCTGGCAGGCTGTTCTAGCACTCCTACACGCTTCGCACGACTCCCTGGAGTCCTTTGGGCTACCGAGGTTTGGGTCAAACTAATCGCGCCACCCACCACGTCTGGCAGGAGGGATATTCTGAAGTACTTGGTCTGGAAGAGCTTCTTGAGCACCAGGGCGTTCTCCAGGCTGGCAAAACCAATGACGGCCTCCGACAGCTGGCCAGGGGAGCAAGTGCGTGCGTGCGTGCGTGCGTGTGTGTGCGTGTGTGTGTGAGAGAGAGAGAGGGAGAGAGGGAGTTTGTGTGTGTGGAAGGGCGCGTGTGTTTGTTAAGTGCCCATGGACACGCACGAGCACCACATCACACGTAATGTGCGCGAAGGACAGCGGCAGTCGACAAAAATCCAGCGGCATTGAACAGCTGCTCAGCGGAATACGACACTGCGCGCGGTCAAGGCCCCCCTCCCGGCTGTACCACCCCCCTGCGCCTTGCCTGCTCAGCGCCGATGTCTTTGGCGATGTTGGCCCCCATCAGCACGCTGCAGTCGATATTCAGGTACTTTGACACCTGGTCCAGGATTGCATTATTTGGGGGGGGGGCGGTTTTGAGTGTGAAAGCTTGCAGGTTTGGATCATTGGGAAGGGAAGGGGAGCGCAGTTTTGCGTGTGGGTGCTTGACCCCTTGGTTCAGGTTGGGATTAATCGGGTGGCCACCTCACGGGAGTGCGAGCGCAGTTTGAGATTTGAGTCAAGTTCGGTTTGGGTGGGGTGGGGGCAGCGTGGGGGATAGGCTCCCAGGTGAGAGTGTTTAGCGCGATTTATTGTGGCGGGAATGTGGGGTGTATGTGCGTGGCATAACGATATTGACCCGAGACATGCAGGCTTGCCTCGGACTGTTGTGTTGCGCAGATGCTGCGCCCACCTGCATGGGCCCCGGGGCCCTTCATTTGCACACGCCGAACGACCGACAAAACAGACCTGTTGGATGGCAACCCTGCCCCATTGCACCCGCCCCCCGCCACTTCTCCACCCCTTGCGCACCATCTGGCTGATCAGCTGCGGGCCGTCGGTGCGCACGCGCATGCCCTGAAAGATGGCGGTTGGTATCGAAAGAGAGAGAATCGATCAGATGATTCCATCGCCAAAACGTATGCCAAGGCAGATGCAGCAGAACCTGCGGGCGTGCAGAGATTGTGTCGCCACACCGCGCCCTCTGCCGGCGTTCTTGCTCACGGCCCTCGGCTCCTAGGGTTGGGGCACCCAAAGCAGCCGTTTCGACTGCAATCGTCGGTCCCGAGGTCCGCGTGGCGCGGCAGCCCCCTCATCGTCGGCGGGAATCGGCCTGAAAGTTGGCCTGGCCTCAAGGGGCCCTCCAATCATGACATCACATGAGGTCAGCATACCCTACTCCGCGCGGGGGGGAGGGGGGGGACCACATCCCCTTTGTCGCACCTTTGTGAGAGACACTGCGATGGCGTCGCGCTTGATCTTGCCAATGAGCTGCTTGCAGATCCCGCGCATGAACTGGCGATCAAATGGGATTCAGCGGCGGACCAAGGGTATCAAGAGTGTGGGGTCAACATGGTGAAACTAGCGTAGGGTGGCTATCAAACATACCGCAAAAAACCAGCATTATTTGGAAAACAACGCAACGCCGATCATGGGCCCTGCCAGAGTGGAGCGCGCCCGCGAGTTTTCTGGGGCGTGGCTCCATCTGAGGGACGGGGCCTTCAAGCCCGTGCACGATCATGCGGCTGCCTGGCAGCTGCCGAGCAGCTTCTCGCCTGGTGCGGCGCGCAGAAGACGATGATGTCAGCGTCCCTCACTGTGCTCTCCAGGTCGGGGTCTGCCACCACGTTGGTGCCTTCAGAGTTTGGGGTGGTGGCGGTTAGGGAGTGATGAGGCAGCCATATGCGTGGTGATTGGGGATGTATGACGGGCAAGATGTTGTTGCACCAAAATATGGAATGTTCATAGGCAGGTGGTGACGCGGTGGCTTGTTGGGGTGATCGGGTAGAGGGGAGGGGGACGGGCTGGGGTTGGGGTTGAGAAAAGGAGTGGAGCACGCCTGGGCCCACTTCCCACCGACCATGGCGTCAGATCCGTCTCCCAGCGCCCCCAACGCCCTCCCCCTCCCAGACACGCAAACGCCCCAAGCGCTTCCTTGCGCCCCTCCCCGCCCCTGCCGGTCGCGTGACCCCCACAACCCAGGCCGCGGCAGCGGCACAGCCGCGTGGACCAACAGCCGTCTTGGCGGCTGCTCACCCAGCTGGACCCCTGGCAGGTACTTGGGGTTGGTGTGCTCCTCATTGATCACCTCCGTCAGCTTGCGGCCCTGGGGTGGGGGTGGGGGTGGG